GGCTTCTCTCTTTCCACAGACTTCAGGCTCTGGCAGAAACCTGCCCCAGCATGGGCTTCCCATGGGACTTCCCACAGCATCCTCATAGCTAAACTGAGTAAGTCTGGTCTGGATGATCAGGTAATGAGGCAGATAGTGAACTTGTTGAAGGGAAGAAGTCAGAGAGTTGTGGTCAATGGCATAGAGTCTAGCTGGAGACCTCTACCTAGTGGAGTCCCTCAGGGGTGGTTGATGGGACCGGTACTATTCAATATATTCATCAGTGACTTGGATGAGGGAGCAGAGTGCACTATCAAGTTTGCTGATGACACAAAACTGGGAGCAGTGTCTGGCACACCAGAAGGCTGTGGGGCCATTCAGTGAGTCCTGGACAGGCTGAAGAATTGAGTGGTTAGAAACTTCATGAAATACAACGACAAGTGCAGAGTCTTGCATCTGGGATAGAACAAACCCTTGTACCAGTATAGGTTGGGGACTGACCTGCTGGAGAGCAGCATAGGGGAAAGGGACCTGGGGGTTCTAGTGGGCAGCAGGATGCGCATGAACCAGCAATGTGTCCTCGTGGCCAGGAAGGCCAATGGCATCCTGGGGTGTATTAGAAGAGGAGTAGCTAGAAGGTCAAGAGGGGTCCTCGTCCTCCTTTACTCTGCCCTGGTGAGGCCACATCTGGAATATTGTGTCCAATTGTGGGCCCCTCAGCTCAAGAGAGACAGGGAACTGCTGGAGAGAGTCCAGCGCAGAGCCACAAAGATGCTGAAGGGAGAGGAACATCTCCCTGATGAGGAAAGGCTGAAGGAGCTGGGTCTCTTTAGCTTGGAGAAGAGGAGGCTGAAGGGTGACCTCATTAATGTTTATAAATATGTCAAAGGGGAGTGTCAGGAGGACAGAGCCAGGCTCTTCCCAGTGACATCCAATGACAGGACAGGGGGCAATGGGTGCAAGCTGGAGCACAAGAGGTTCCACCTCAACATTAGAAAAAACTTTTTCATTGTGAGGGTGACAGAGCCCTGCCACAGGCTGCCCAGGGAGGTTGTGGAGTCTCCCTCTCTGGAGACATTCAAAACCCACCTGGACGTGTTCCTGTGTGACCTACTGTAGGTGATCCTGCTCTGGCAGGGGGGCTGGACTAGATGATCTTTTGAGGTCCCTTCCAACTCCTAACATTCTGTGATTCTGTGTTTCTGTGATTCTGTGATTCTTTGACTACAGCCCCCTTCAGGCATGTACCCATTCCAGTGTGGGGTCCTCCATGGGCAGCAAGTGGGCATCTACACCCATCACCTTCATGGGCTGCAGGGGGACAGCCTGCCTCACCGCGGTCTTCACCACAGCCTGAGGGACTCTCTGCTCAGGCATCTGAAGCATGTCCCCCCTCTTCACCGACCTTGGTGTCTTCACATATTCTCACTCCTCTGTCTCTCTGCCAGCTGTTGTGTGGTGCAGTTCTTCTTTCTCTGTTTCTTAAATGTATTTTCACTGAGGCATTCCTGTCCTATCATCACTGATGGGCTCAGCCTTGGCCAGCGGTGGGTCTGTCTTTGCAGCCGGCTGGCATTGGCTCTACCAGACTTAGGGGAAACTTCTAGCAGCTTCCTGCAGAAGCCACCCCTACAGCACCCTTACCACTGAAATCCCACCATTCAAACCCAGTACACTGTGATAACCCATTAATGACCAGGCTGTCACTCAGGAGAAATCCCTCTGCCACCCTGGCACTATTTGGGCTCCTCTTACCTTCCTTCTGCCTACAGGTTCTCCTGCAATTTCTAGAGGAGATATGCTGTAGGGGACTAGGATATCTGGGTTTTACTGTTACTTCGAGGAAACGGCTGGAGAGTTACTACGTTCAGGGTGGAACTGCACACTGGCCTTTGTCCTGCTACTGACACTGCAAAATCCCTTTGTGGAAGAAGGTTCAGGGATGGTGGTGTTGGGAAAGCTGCTGAAGGGGTGAGGAAGACCCCACAGCAGGGCTATGGACTGGGGTCTAGCTGGGATCCTGAGGGCATTTTCCAGCTTTCCCTGTCAGAAGAGCCTCTGGGCTCTGACAGTGCAGGATGCAGCCCTCACTGCTGCAGATGTTGTGTCCTGGAGAAGAAGAAGCTGTATCACACCCTGCTGTGCAGGGAGCAGACTCCTGCCTGGCCATCCCGAGGCTGAGATGTGACTGGGTAACCTTCCCCAGTTCTGACCCTGACCCAGCACCTGTGGGATTACATCCCAGCCTGGATTCAGCTGACCCTCATCACCACAACCGGTGATCTACAGGTATGCCCCACATCGGGCTTCCTCAGGGACAGGGATGGGGTAAGGATGGAGATAATCACCAAATATATATCTGTTTTCTGTGAGGTCTGACACAGGAATAGACTTTACTGTAGGGGAATGTGGCGGATATGTTAGCAGTGCTTTCCACAAAGAAGACTGCTTCTCAAAAGCCACAGCTACTTCTCATTTCCTTGTGGTTTTGTGGATGGTTCTGAGCCCTGAACGTTCTTCCCTGTCAGAAATAAAACTATTTGTAAATTGCAGGTGGTTTGGGTTTTTCTCCCTTCAGTCCAAAAGTTTGAGTCCAGGTAGTATATTGAGGATCGAACTGGACCTTCAGGAAACAGCCCATCAATTATGTTTACAGGGGTTGAAATTGACTGCCTTGGGGCATCAGCCCGCTTGAGAGGAAGGTATGTGGCTGGCTGGCTTTATTATGTGCAAAAATGTATACATCCACTGTGTGCTGCAGGAGGAAATCTGCATTAGAATGCATCTAAGATGTGTTGAGAAGGTTCTGTGAGACTTAGTCCTGCTGCAAGGGCTAGAGAACATGCACAGCCCACATGTGATGCACTCTTGGAAGTGCAGTGAGTGGTCTCATGGAACTGGAGCTCATCACCTCCGATGATCATGCCATGTCAAGTTTGGATTCATGAGTTCCTGTGTGACTTGACAGTCCCTTGGAAGCCTCTTGTTTGCACTCTGCTGTGTGGCTCCTGCTTAAGTAAGGCATCAGCAATCAAACTAGCAGCCCTAATGTTAAACTGTGCAAGAGCTAGGCATACTGCTGAGACTTTCAGTATTTCTGCAGTGTTTTTCTAGTGCATGCAGTGCACCAAGACGAAAACTCTCAAAAAAATAATAAATTTCTAAGGAGGAAGAAGGCAAAAACAGATTGCTAGGCCTCACTATAGGATAGGGGAAAAGAAAAGATATGCTGACATCAGCCAGCCCTAATGTTAAACTGTGCAAGAGCTAGGCATACTGCTGAGACTTTCAGTATTTCTTCAGTGTTTTTCTAGTGCATGCAGTGCACCAAGACGAAAACTCTCAAAAAAATAATAAATTTCTAAGGAGGAAGAAGGCAAAAACAGATTGCTAGGCCTCACTATAGGATAGGGGAAAAGAAAAGATATGCTGACATCAGCTGCAATAGAAAGCCTCTGGCACCAAGTGCATCGTTTTGAAGCTTGGCTGTTTTCGTTCACTTTTTTTGCTCCTTTCGTATGGCAAAGAGAGGCAATGAGAGAGCCTACACCTAATGCTGGGGCTTTATGAGGACGTCACCCAGTGAGTACTGGCTTGAGACATTCTACTGAGTGCTAGCAACTTTTCTGACTGCATAGGGACAGGAAAAGCCTGATTCCAAAAGCCCAGAGAACTGCCAAGGAAACAGGGAGCACATGATTTACTACTGTTGACTGTCTTGCTCCAAGCTTGCTAGAAGACTTTACCCCATCAGTCTCAAAATAGCTGTACGTGAGACAACTAGACATAATGTACTGGTGTTCCTGAACGGATCTCAGGAGAGATCTAACTTCCAGAAGCCCCTCGGTGTTGCTGCTCTGCTGGAGTAATGCAAATAGATACACCAAACACTGTCTTGTGGTTCTGAAGATGGTAGTTCTGAAGATCCTGGTTCCTGGGAAAGGATCTTCCATGGAGATCTGGGCCAACCTCTCCAATCCAGGTGGTGTAGAGCACCCTGAGTGACAGCACCCATTCCTAGTCACTGTATTGAACCTTAGAGCAACCACACTCCTCTCCTCAGGGAAACAGAGAGAGATGGGCTGTATAAATCACTGAGTTGAAAGAGGAGCCGCCCAGGAGAGCTGCAACAGCACAAAGAACCAGGATTCATGGAAGCTTGAGGTTATGCAATCGTGGGTGAACTGGATAAGGACTCAGAGAAGAGCTTGGTGGTGACACCTTCAGGGACAGGAGATTGGAGGAGTGTGAGACAGACTTGGGCTTATGGTCCAAAATGAGCTGCATCCAGGGAATTTGCTCACATACCCAAAGATCTTGCCTGACTTAACGAGGAACAAGTCTCCTCCATCCAGCTCCAGGAAGACCCTCTAACCTCCAGTACTGTGTACACTGCCCGCATTGAGGTACTTCACATCCTAGAAGTCACTGAGAAAATGGAGCTCAGAACAGGGTAGCAGGAAATGTTTGGGGAAGAAAGGAAATGAGCTACATCTGACTGGTTCAGGAGGCTGTCAGATCTGGAAGGAGTTGGTGGGATTCAACAGCAAGATTGTTGCATCTAGGTCATTTCCGGACAATAAGCACAGAGATTTAAAGGCAAATGAGATGCATAATGAGGTCACCCTACAGTGGGCTTGGGCATGTGAACCAGGTAGGTTTTCACTGACATCCATTGCTGGATCTGAAGGGAGAGAGGAGTGATGCAGATCTGAGAAGTTTTTTGGATGTGCTTGCGGGAGCAGGGGTACAAAGGCCTGAGGTGGTCAGCAAAAAGGCTGAACCAAGGCACCCAGGAGACCCAGCCAAGCCTGAACCCACTGCAGATGGGGGCAGATGGATGAGGAGCAGCCCTACAGCCGGTGGGACGCTCTCTTTCCAAAGAGGAAGCTTCTTGCATTGCATGTCATTTCCCTACGTGCCTGTTTCATTTCTGTGTCTGCACCTCTCCTGCGCTGAGTTACACAGATGCCTCTCCCCAGCAGCTCAGACTGACTCCTGTCTGGGAATCCTGTGCTAGCATGGCCCTGAAAGGGCTGGATTTGGCCTTTCTCCTGGTCCTTGCCCTTCTGCTGCTTGCACAGGGACAGAAGGACGATGATCCCAAGAATCACGGAGCAACCAAGGAAGCAGGTAAGAGTCTCTCGGGGAGACCTCATCACTCTCTACAACTACTTGAAAGGACGTTGTGGAGAGGTTGGTGCTGGTCTCTTTTCTTGGGTAATTAGTGATAGAACTAGAGGGAATGGCTTCAAGTTTAAACAAGGTAGGTTTAGACTAGACGCCAGGAAGAAGTTCTTCACGGAAAGAGTTGTGGGATATTGGAACAGACTGCCCAGGGAGGTGGTTGAGTCACCATCCCTGGATGTGTTTAAGCATCGCTTGGATGTGGTGTTGCGTGATATGGTCTAGGGGTGAACTTGTAAGTAGGGTTAATGGTTAGACACGATGATCCCAAGGGTCTTTTCCAACCTGGATGATTCTGTGATTCTGTGTGCCTTGCACCTCTCTCCTACAGAAAAGGTTTTGCTGCTCCTCTACCTGTATATTTATGTGGCTCTACCCTGTTCAGCCCACAGAGGCTGTGTTGGGGGAGGCTGAAGTTCGTGTCTGCATCAGTCTTGAGACTCTCAGGAACTCATTGGGTTGTGGTGGGATGAAGATCTGTCTGGGGATGGAGAGCGGCAAACCTCGGTGCACAGGGAAAGCCTCTGTGAAAGCAGGAGCCACGGTGTCCCTTCGGAGAGTGGGCAGTGTCCCCAGCAGAAGGACGGGGATGGTTCTTGCTGCACGGTGGACAGGAGCCAGGGCAACCAGAGCACTGGTAGCCTTCATGGGGAAATTGAGTGAGCATCCCTATTGCAGGGCAAGGAGGTGTTGGTGTTCAGCAAGATGTGGGGAAGCTGTGACATGAATCCCTGTGTTAGCTGTGGTGCCTGCTCCCTCCCATAGTCCCTGGGGTTGAGGGATAGAATCATAGAATCATAGAATGGCCTAGGCTGGAAGGGACCTTAGAGATCATTTAATCTATAGCTCAGGGGGGGCCATTCTTTAACAGCATTATTTTGTTCTTTCTCCATGCCAGGAGGGCTAGAGGTCACCTCCTGGGTATCCGATGGTCTCTACCCATGGAGAATGTGGGCTTTCCTACAGAGACTGTGCTGTGCTCTGGGGTTACCGGTACCTATTGAGGTCCCCATGGGGCACATCAGGAGTGGCTGCTCTTTGCACCAGGGTCCAGGGGGCCTGGGATATGAGTCATTCTCTCCACAGGAAAATAGGAGCAGAAGTGGCTTGCCAAATTGTCGTATGGGTCGTGAGTCATGTTACCCATCACTGGTGGCTGCAGGGATGCTGCCCTTCCAGCAATGGGCAGGCTTCAGCTATCGAGAGCAGGATGGACCCTGTTGCCCTCGGTTCAACATCAGCTCCTGCCCTTTTCTCCAGTTCCCTACACTCATCCCTGACAAACCCAGCTGATAGACACAGCTCTCCCCTCCCTGGCCAAAAGAGTGCCAGATGGAGGGGACTGTGATGGGCTCTGTAAAAGCATTGCCTTGGAGTGTCTGGAGAAGATTTCTTGGATCTGTGTCTGCAGAAAAGGTGTGGGGCACTGAATTAAGGTTCTGACCATTACTCTCTACCATGCTGCTAGTGTCTGCAGCACCGGAGGCTGTTGGAACCTGGATTATGGGTAGTCCAGCAGAGCAGGGGCAGGGCTTGCCTCCCCCTGTGTTATGAATAAAGCCCTGGTAGGAAGCCAGGCACTCACAAGGGCTTTTGCTGCAGTCAGTGATACTTAAGTGTCATCAAAGAGTCATGTTTTTCAAAGGTGTGTGGTTTTTTCACTTTCTTTTTGTGTCCTACATCATTGCTGCTCAGGGATAGCCGTGAACGTCTGAATAAGCCACATGTATTTTCTCAACAACAATGGGTCATGTTACTTTCTAACATTGCCTATGGCCCCGTTTTTCTCACCTTCCTCTCCCTACTGAGTTTTGCACAAGGCAGCCTCGTGCTCCCATTGCTCCTACTTGCTATGTCCCCTCTTGAGCCCTGGTCTTGCCAGCTGTTTTCCTCACCAGCTCTTCTTGTTTATTTCTGCTCCAATAGGAGTGTAGCCTGGTTGTCACTGTCAGGTCACCATCAGCCTCCTGACTGAACCAGGCTGTGCTCTTACTGCACGCCCTGTCTTCTTTCTGCATAAGGGTGTTTCTGCCTGGCCTTTCAGAGGGTGGGGCACCTAGGGGACAGTCAGCCTTGTTTCCTGACAAGTATCAACATGAAAAAAGTTCCTCCACACATGTGGAAATCTTTTCTTTGAAGCATAGTTGATTTTCCTGCAGCAGGGTTATCTCCTCCATGCTGGATGGTCAAATACTTGGTGCTAAGGAGGTAGCCCAGATGCTCTTGGGTGGAAAGGATCCTGGATGTCACCCTGGGGCAGGACTGTGAGGGCATGGGAGAGGATGAATGTGTGTGCCAGGGATGCCTAAAGAGACTTTGACTGAATCAAAAGCCATCAAGGCTTTTGATTGTCACAGTGAAGGGTGTGATCTGCGGGTGCTGGGAGGGATCCAACTGCGGAGGAAGAAGTTAGGAAGCTTCTGGACAATGCATATAGTCTCAAAGGATGTGGGTGGCAGCTGCTGTCCTTTGTGGTGGATGGCCAGGGTGCAGATTGAGATGATGGCATGAAAATCTGCTACTAGATAAGAGAAATGTGGTGATGCCACTGTTCCAGTGTAAGGAAGTGCAGCCACACGAGTGCTGACTGGCAGGAAGCGGGCAGCTGTAGAGGCTTGTGTAGCTAAAGAGGGGTCTTCCATTGTAGTTTAGAGGAGGCAACCTCCTGCCCCATTGCCTGCTCATGGACTCAGTTTTCACAGGGTGAGCAAGTCTAGGTGACATGTTTACCAGGGCAGGACAAGGCAGGCTCATTTTGGGTGAAGTTCACAGAAAAAGCTGCATGTATGGTGTTGATTATGAGCTTTGCGACCAGTGCTGCGCACCTAGACGTGGAGGTCTGAGGGTAGGCTGTTGGTGCTGGCAGCTGCATCATGGGGCAAAGCTGGAAGGGTGTGCACTGGTAGCAGGGTCTCACTGGGTCTGGTGCACTCCCACAGCCCCTGTCTCTGGGAGAGAGAGCCCAGGGGAGAGCAGCATCCACCGTTTTTCTAGATTTCAATGGCCACGATCCCTCTGCAGCACATGGCTGGGCAGGGGGGCTGCGGGTAATTCTCCCACACTGCACCTGAGGGTGCAAGGAGGGTTAATGCACCTGGGGGCTGGGGCCTCATCCTGGGAGATGGTCACCCCTGCCACCCCTCTGAAGTGAGGGGTCGCAGCACCCCTCTGGACAGCGCCCCTCACCGCCAAGGAGGCTGCCAGAGCCCAGTGATGCTCAGGACTCCCTCACAGCCTTTGCCCACAGGAAGGTGTGAAGCTCCCTCTGACTGGGACCCCAGGCTGCAGTTTACCCCAAACCAGAGCAGCTACGCCTTGAAGGAGTGGGTGCAGGTGGGCTGTGCTGCGGAGTACGTTCCATCATCCCCATGGATCAGATGCATTTCCAGTGGGAACCAGACCCTGTGGAACGGGACAGTCACCTGCAAGGGTAAGCACAGCCCCGCATCACCCTGACCCCTGGGTGCTCGGCTGGTGGCAGACCCTCCGTGACATGGTCGTGCTTCAGTCTCATCCGAAACAGGAGGCCTGGATGCCTCTCCTTTCTGTCCTGTCCTGGCAGTGCCACAGCATGTTTAGTCTGAGCGCCTTGCAGCGGGCAGCTTCTGCAGTCTGTGCTCCCAGGGAAGGGTTCAAAGCCAGGAACGCTTCCTGGCCAGTGTCTCCTGCCTCCACAGGGAAAGCTGCAGCTGTTTATCTGGGAGGAGGAGGAATACATGGAGGGATTCTGCCTGAAGTTTTGGCATTTTGCGCTGCTCATTTCCCTGGGAAGCTTCCCTGGGATTTGGGTGAGCCCTGCTTGGGAGGGCTTTCATTGCTGCACCTGGGCATGAGAGGGCCCAGGAGAATGGGGTCTCAAGCACCCTAAGGGTGAATGGAATCCAGGGGAGGCGTGGGAGTCCTGGAGATAGGGGTGGTGATAGCTCCTGTGCCCCTGAACACTGCTTGGGCATACAGTGGGTACAGAAGGACTCTTGTGTGTCAGGTTGGGTGGTCAGAGTCATAGGGAGGAGGCAGTTGTCCCAAGCCTCTTTCATCACCTTCCAAAAACGCTCCTCCCACAATTTTACCTCTGGCAGGAACATGCCAAAGGCCTATTTGGTGGGACCCAAGACTCCAGATGGCACCAGCCCATGGGAAATACAGAAAGGATGAAGAAGTGACTCTGAGCTGCAGCAGTGGTTTCCAGCCATCCTTCACCCATGTGAAATGTGCAGGGGCAGCTCAACCGTCGAATTATTCTCGATCCCTAAACAGAGATGTGTGGCTGGGGAGGAAAAGCAGTCATGAGTGGATCCACGTTGAGGGAAACATAGTGTGCATTGGTAAGCAGAGTGTAAGGAGGTGCCTCTTATGGAGATCCATGAACAAATCCTGCTCCGTTCACTCGTCTTTGAGCTTCTACCCTCACCACTGTGGCCAAGGATGCGCTCCTGGAGCCTGGCTGGGGCCACTTAGGTCTCCTTGGTTTTGATACCTGAGACCATTCTTCCACTGAATCCTGGCATATCCTCGTCCATCACCTGGCTGGGCAGATCGTATGCCCAGCTGACACTCACCTACAAGGAAAGCCTCATCCCAACAAGCCCCACTGAGTTGTCATATCCTGACAGATGGATATGTCACTTTCCCTCCCCCTTCAGGGACTGGAGGGATTGCTGATACCCCACCACACACCCTTGCTGCTCCTTGAAACCTCCCATCCCAACTAACACCCATTTTCACTTCTGCCAGAAACTTGCCGAAGGCCTCGCTGGGGCCGAGGACTCCAGCTGGCACCAGACCAAGATAATTACAAGAAGAATGAAGAAGTGAAGCTGAGCTGTCCCCAGAGTTTCCATTCAACCTTCACCCATGCCAAATGTACAGGAAAAGTCCTGTCCATCAGCAACGGGAAACCTGTATACAGAGAAGCTTGGAATGGAAGGGACAGCAGAGGCAGATGGATGAACATCCAGCCCACATCCAATGTGGAGTGCTTGGGTAAGAAAGGTATCAGGAGCTCTCCTAATTGCCCTTATCTGCCCTCCCTGAGCAAGGAAAGGCAGGCTGTGTGTGCACAGGAGGTTTCAGGCTCTCTGCCTGCCTGGAGAAATGGTAGGTGCTGCTGAAGGCAGTGTACAGGCAGTCCCTCAGTTGCCCTGTGCTTGCCTTGGGCTCCAGGGGAGTTTTGCTAGAGAGGGGATTGGTGCAGGCTCAGCCCCCGAGGGTCCTGGCAGGAGGGGGCTGTGGGATCAGGGTGGACAGTGGCCAGAAATGTCCATGCTGGGCTAGGGCAAGAATCGTGGCGTGCAGAGCTCCAGACTGTGATTCACAAGCGGCTGGGAGGTTCCTGGTGAAGAGGTGTGCGTGACGTGTTTCCTTGAGGACTTCTGGAAAGAGCATGTGCAGAGAAGTGGGGGGCTACAAGCCGTAGGTCTGGCAGGTGTTTGTGGCGCAGGCAGCCAAAAGTATCATGCCAGGATCTGAGGGATCACAGGACTCTGATCCCTGCATCCTCTCAGCCTCTCAGCAGGCAGGGCAAAGGACTGGCATCATCCTCATGTGCTAGGCTCCCCTCTCAGTCTCTGTTTCGTGCCTTCACTGCAGCAGCCAACTTTCAGGATTTACTGCCTTCTCAGGAGGACTCCTGGTCTTCTTGTCCTCCTTGAGGGATAGGGAGGGCACCAGAGTCAAGTGCCAGTCCATGAGTTTCTGTGCAGGCTTTGTGCGTAGTGTGAGCCCCCTCAATTCCTGGAGCTCCAGCTCCTGCTGGCTTTTCACAGAGTGTGGGGCCCTTCTTATCCTCATCCCCTTGCTCAGGACATAGCATGGGAGAGCTGGTCTTTATGGTGTTCTAAATCTCCATCCCTCATCCTTCTGTGCCAGGGAAGGAGATTCCCTGTTCTGTCACCTGGCATTCCCTGTGGGGCCACCCTGCTAACACCTTCCCATCTTGTTGGTTCAGAGAAGTGCCAGAAGCCCCAGTGGGACTCCAAGTTCATCTTTGACCAAGAACAGGAAACCTTCAACCCAAATGAAGTGGTGAAGATGAGATGCCCTGAGGGGCACTGGCCTCCCCCCATGGAGATCAAATGTGTGAAGCTGAACCCAAGGGAAGGCTCCATGATTCCTCACAGCGTCTGGTTTGTGAGAAATGGCACAGGACGCTGGCACCTTATGGATGGAAATGTGACCTGTGTGGGTAAGTGAGTGAACCAGCCACTCTCTCAGAGCTCTTAATCTGTCGTCCCCAGGTAAGGAAAGCAGTGCTGCACGTATCCACAGCATTAGAGACCTGTGCTCAGGGTGGTCAGGGGGGTTCACTCCAGAGAAAGCTGCTGCTGCTCCGTCCGAGGTTTGGGTCTACACTGTTTCCAGCTTGGACACCCTGCACAGCCCTGAGAGGGAAAAGTCCTCACCACTTTCCATAGGTCACCAAGCAGTGTGCCCAGACCAGATAGATAGGTCTGCCTGGAGAAGAGCATGATAGACAAAGAGCAGGAGGGCAGGGAACTGCTCTGGCTCCCGGATTTGTGGCTAAATCATTGCTGGTATAAAAGGGACCCATCACCAGGTCAGTTGCTAGCTCCAGGGTGGCAGGAGCAGAAGGGCCATGAGTACTTGATCTTACCCTCCCACAGTAACTGCAGCACTCTGAGAAACCCAGGTAGTGATCCAGGGGCAGAGGAAGATGCAGGCAATGCCTGAGCGTAGTGTGGGAGAAGATGGGATGGTCTTGTCCAAACTGTGCTGAGGACAGGCTAGTAAGGCAATGGTGGAGGTGATGAATCATAGAATCATATAATGTTAGGGATTGGAAGGAACCTCTAGAGACCACCTAGTCCAACCCCCCTACCAGAGCAGGATCCTCTAGGGCAGCCACACAGGAATGCATCCAGGTGGTTTTGAATGTCCGGAGAAGGAGACTCCACAACCTCTCTGGGCAGCCTGTGCCACTGCTGGCTGCAAAGCTGGGAGAGGAAGTGAAGAAAGTGACCCTTTTGCAATGTTCCCTTCACAGACATTCTCCAGGTTGTTCCTGGGACCCTGGAGATCTCCAGCACCAGCATCAAACTGAACTGGACCTGCAGGCTCCCTGACGTCTGCCAGCACATTTGGGCCAGGTGCCGACTGGAAGAGCTTTCCTCCCCTACCTGTAAAGTTAAGGAAGTGAAGGGAGAGGAGAAACTACACGGCTGGAAGGGAACATTTGCCTGTCCCGCTCTGCAACCCTTCACTGTCTATAGTGTCACCATCTCGCTGCCACCCAGCACAATCCTGTACACACGGCTCCTCAGGACAAAGGAAATGGGTTTGTTCACCTGAAATGTAAAGGTGCCCTTCACCCAGCAGCTCAGCCTGACCATCTACTCCCTGCAGTGATGGTCCTGGGATTGGGGCTGCTCAGACTCTGTGGGGGAGCTGTGCAGGGTCCTGGGGCAGGGCATGTCCCCTCCTCACCCCGCCGTTGCTACTGCTGCAGCACACGCAGCCATAGTGGGGAACAAATCCTTGGCCTCATTGTGTGACCCCATCCTCCTGTGCTTTCAGTGCCGGACAAACCAGAGAATCTGTGGCTGGATCCCAGCACGGGGTCCCTCAAGTGGAATGCGCTGCCCTCCTGCAAGGGGGAGATCATCGGATACCAGGTACCAGGGGACCACGGACAGCCTGTGGTGGCCCTCACCTTGCCAGGCACCTCCCTGCCTGAAGCTCTCTGCAGCAGGCCCACCAGCTCTACACTGCTGGTGGTTCTGGTGGGGTGAGTTCCCCTCCTGCTCCCAGTTGGCAGCAGCAGACCCTCTCTGCAGAGTGGGAGGTCAGTGCTGCTCCCCACCAGCTCCTTATCCTTCCTATAGCTCAACATCACGACCAGGAGAGCGCACGATGATGTCTTCCTCGAATTCACGCAGGTGTTGGTGAATGAGTCCGTCACTCAGTACACACCACTTCAGACACTTGGAAGCAAATACAGAGTGACAGTGCAGGGCCTCACGGCAGCTGGTGCTGGGGCTGCATCACTGCTGGAATTTCAAACCTACATCTCCGGTAATGGTTATTCTGCCCCGGGTCGGGTGGAGGTGGCCTCCCTGGGAGAGAGTGCTGAGCCTGGAGCCGCTTCCAGAGCTATATGTGCACCCATCCCATCCCCATCAAGAAAGAAGCAGAGTGTGGTCACACGGAGAGCCAAACAGAGCAGTGGGGGCCACAGGGCTGGGTGAGTCCTGCCCTGAGGGGGTGCATCGCCTGGTCTCCAGAGCAGCTGGATTGCTTCAGCCCTTGTTTGTACTTGTGGGAGCAGAGCTGGGCCCTCTGTGCTTCCACTAAAGAAGATGATACCCATCCCTGCATAGGGAGGTCAAAGTCAAACAGCACTAAAGCTACTGAGCCTGGTCTATGTGTCCTCTTGCTGGTTCACTGGGCTTCTAGACCCTCTGGTTGTGTCTAGGAGATGGGGCAAGTACCCCTCCTCCACAGCCTCCCTCTGCCCTGCCCTGCCCAGCAGACATGAAGGCAGAGGAGGGCTGCCCCTTGCTGCCTGTCGCTGCAGCAGCCAGCACAGCAGAGCCTGGGCACACCCAATGCCAAGGTTGGGGCCATTGCTGTTGTGTGGTCCAGGCTGTGGCACCCACTCTCGGCTGTGTGTTAGTTGCAGGGCAATCTCTGGGCGTGTGGCCTGGATCAACCGTCACAGTAGTGGTGGTGGTGGTGGTGCTGGTGCCTCTGTCTGCAGGGATCCTGTGGTTCGTGCGGTCCAGGTGAGTAGGCACATGAGACTTGGAGTTGCTGCTCTGCCTCAGGCCATGCTGTGCTGTGGGTGGCTGATGGTGGAGAGAAGGTTCCCCCAGCTGCTCTCACCCTTCTCTGGGCATGGGAGGATGCAGCTGGCTGGTCCTACCATAGCTTGGATGTAGGGCTCCTGTCTGGGGCTCATAAAGCATCTTCCTCAGAGCTGAGGCAGGGACCATGTGTGCTAAAATACCCCTCCCCTTGCTGCTGTTGCCACCACTGCTGCCGTGGGGATTAATGAGCAATGCCTGCCAGCTCACGAGAGGCACAAGGCAAGGGTGTGCATAAAAAAATCAGCAGGGCCCTGGGTCATGTCAGCCTCCCTCTTGACTCAGGACTGCCCTTTGTCTTCCCAGGAAAAAGAAGGCCTTGCCCAGCAAAGCCGAGGAGGACCACTATACAGGTAAGGTTCCCATCACAGAGATGGCTGTAGGGCCAGGGTTGGAACCGGGAGGAGACCAGGTCTACTACAGAGAGCCCATTGTCATCCTGGGGTGACTGTAACTAGCCCTGCTGGCTCTGGCTGACCTGTCAGAGCAGCATGTCCCACACCTGCTACCCCAGCTGAGATCCTCCTCCAGCCGCTGCCTGCCTGGCTCTGCCCCGCTCCTTAGCCCACAGCCCTTGCGTCCCTCAGGCTGTTTCTGTTATCCTACCAGAACTCCAGCCCTATGAGAACTTGGATGATTACTGTGTGCTCAAGGGGACTCTCCGGCCAGAAGAAGCAGCAGGTAGGACATGGAGTGCCCTATGTTCCCTGGCATGGTGGAGATGGGGTGGAGAGTGGCAGCTGTAGTGGTATGAGCTCCCCACACTGCTGACAACACGCAGCACCATCTGCCATGAATGACCTTCGTCTCCACAGGTAAATCTCGCCGGGCTGGAGAGCCATTGCCCCAGCCTTCACCTGTCCTGGAGTCTGCAGGAGACAGTCAGAGCAGTGAGGGAGAGGAGAAGATGGGGCAGACGTCCGAAGCACAGTGCTGATGGCACTTGCCATGCTTACTCAAGGCTTGGTTTTCTCGGGCTAGAAGTAGGACTTCATATAGCTTGTGCTGGGTTATTGTTCCCCCTCAAATTTCCTCTCTCATCGAGTTCCAGCATCTTCTGTCACAGAGCAGGAGCAGCCCAAGGCCTGGGATTAACCACCTATACCAGAAAGGATTTGTTCTGGTAGTCCTCCAGTGCTCTGGCAAAGCTGTCCCAACCTCACCCTGGTGCCTGCAAGTCTCCTCCAACATTGAAGCAGCTTGCTAGGTCCCAGCCCCTCCTTCCCCACTCCATATCCTTTATCCATCTACAGCCTGGCCTCTCCTTCAGTTTGGCCCAACCATGCTGCCCTCACAGCTGTTCTGCTGTATCTGAACAACCAATAAATTGTTCTGATTTGCAGTGGCTGCCTGCCCCTTGACAACTCCCACCTCATCGTGGTTCCTCCCTATTCTGTGTGTGAAAACCCTGTCCCTATGAATCTTCATGGAGGAGCTTGGATTAGGATTTTGCAGACCCTGACAGCCCCAAGGAAGCACATCTAAGAAGATGTGTGCTCCCAGAGAAATGCTTCATCTTCCTACCTTCCCTCCTTTCCATCTTGCAAGTAGCATGACCTCAGTTGGCCTAGCCTCTGGATTGATCTGTACCCTTACTCTGTGGGTCCTAGTGCTTGCCTCCAGTTTTGTGAGGTGCAGCTGACTGGCCCAGTGCTGCTGTCCTTGGGATCTCCTTGATCTCTGACAGCCCCTGCCTTTCCCTCACCCAGGGATACCAGTGCTTAGTGCAGACTGGAGGTTGAGGGACCTACTGAAGGCTCTCCAAGTCCAGGAGCGCACCGATAGATGATGGGGCACTTGATCACTCTCTTCCCCAGGCTCCTTCTTTTAGCCTGAGATGACCTGTGTGTGTCAGTAAAGACATGTTTTGACAGTCCTTCATATGAACTGTCTGACCATCACTGTGGTACCTGCAATGGGCTGTGAGCAAAGCATCTCCTTGCACAGACTTCCCTTGGTGTGACTTGCATGCCTGATGGAGCTACTCCCCATATCCAGTCATGCCCTGGCCTTGTGACTCTGCCACGACTCTGTCTGAACAACTAATAAAGGCTCATGGTTTGGAGGTGACTGCCCCACCACAGCTCCTGCCTCATCCTCTCATTGCCCTTGTGGGGTCATGTTCCCTCTGGGGTGTGCTGAGGTAACTGCACCTTGTTGAGGGGAGGCCATGAGCAGGTCTGGAGCTGTGGCTGATGGCTTCCCCAGGCCTTCAGGGCTGTCCTGGAAAGCTCTGACATGTTTTTGGATGGGGAGGTGTCGGAAACCAGTGGGAGGTGGTGGTCCCCTCGTTCATCATGGGCAGGAGTGTGTCCTGTGCATGTCCTGCAGTCAAAGTTGAGGACAAGCGTGGTCATTGCTGCTCTACAGCCCTCATATTGGATCACTTAGCCCTCCATGATCTGAGACATCCTAAGTGGGTCCATGGAATGTTCTGGAAGAAGAGGAAAAAGCAGAAGCTGTTGAGGACCAAGGGGGATGGTTTAGTTGCTCTGAGGCCTTCCTCAGGCACTCAGCTGACACTGGAGGACAGAGCGGTCTGCACAGTTGGGGACAGAGGAGAGTGTTAGCAGACTGAGGGAGAGGAGGAAGAGGCAGCTGGGAATGGAGGAACAGGGAAGGTGGAGAGCTGGTATGGGTTGAGTGGGTCTTTCAAAAGGGGCAAGGACTGTTTCAGGCTTTAATGTACTCCTTGCAGCTCATGTTCCTGTTCCCATCCCTGCTTCTTGCCAGCTCTGTGTTTTCTCAGAGGCAGTCCATGTCCTCTGGTCACTGGGTGGGGACTCATCACAACTCTAAAACTCATGCAGTGGTGTTGGGAATCACATGGGTATGGCCTCAGAAATGTGAACAGTGTTTCTTGAATGCACTCTGGCGACTAGGAGGGTTTTGGGGGGAACCCTGGGATCTAACTGACAGAGGTTCTTCTCCTGAGTACCAGAGCCTGGATGTCCCTGGAGGATAAAAGCAGCAAAATGCAGCACCGCTGACACTGATGGAAGGTTCCCTCCCCAAAGAGGAAGCCTCCTGCACCTCATGAGACTTCCCCATGTGTCTGTTTCCTTCCTGTGATTGCAAGTCTTGCAGTCAGTTACGGATGCCTGGCATAAAGGCGGTGGGTGGTGTTGAGATTTCAGTTCTGCCGGAGGACTCCACGCTAGCATGGCCCTGATCAGGATTCTTCTGATCCTTGTCTCTCTACTGGCAGCACAGGGCCAGGAAGAACCTGATCTCAAGGTTCAAGGAGAGCACTGGGAAACAGGTAAGAAGTGATTCCTCCTCTTCCTTGGAGAGATTTTGCTGCTTCTTCTCCTGCAAGCTTGATGTGCACCTTTGGTGCCTGCAGCTCTGGTCTGGAGCCTGGCGGGTACCCCTGAGGGCTGCGTCCCCTGGGGTGCCCCTATTTCTGAGACACCCCAGGGTCAGGAGATAAGATGTGGTGTGGGTACGCGGTGAATGTGGTGGGAAGCATGGGACTGGGCTGGACGGCTGGGGTTGGATTGTGCTTTGCATGACCATCAGGTTGTTCTCTGCAGGCATGAATTTGTGCATTGTGAATTGGAGGAAGGGTCTTCAGGGAGCAGGATTAGCTCCTTCTTTGCATATTTTTCTCATGTCCTCAGTCGTTCTACAAAATAACGACACATGCCCCACCCCCACCCCCCCAAGTCACTGAGAAGGGGAATTGGGAAAAGGAAAGGAAACCTATGGGTTGAAATGGAAACAGTTATTAAAAAATGAATACTAATACTATTAGTACTAGTAGTATCATTAGTACTACTACTACTACTACTACAACTACTGCTACTATTACTACTAATGTAAAGTACATAAAGTTATACTCAGCCCATGTAGTGGCTCTGAGGTGGGCACTCCCAGCACTGAATGCTGGATGTTCAGTACTGTGAGAATCACAGCTCCAGTGGGAGCACGATGGTCACAGCAAATGGGAGAGTTGACTTCAGGAGCAGAATGACAGATGAGACCCTGCAGGGATGATGACCATTGAGGAGAAGAAACTATTTCTTGAAAACTTCTTGGAATACTTCTGTTGTCCATCTTGGGCCAGCTGCCCTGGCTTTCACTCCTCCTGGCTTTAGCACCTGACTAACTAAAAAATACTAAAGATCTTGAACACCTGCATACCATGGCTGCCCATAAATGAAACCAAAGTGTATTATCAACTTTGTTATCACTGGATCAGGTGCTGCAGTCTTCTCAAAAATACAGGTTTCCTGAACAGAAATTTGATTCCATGATTCTATCCCAGTGAAAACCAGGGCAACATCATTTCCAGGTGGCCTGAGGGACACTGCACCTGCCAAGAGCAGAGAAAAAGGGAAATTGCTGCCACTTTGCTGTTTGGATATTTTTGTGTGTGTGGAGTGTCCAGGTGCCTGGGCATGGGGCAGGTCACAGCTATGTGTCAGTGGGACATGGCTGCTGGTTGTAGTGCTCAACTGGGCATCCCTTGCCTTCTGCAACCAGGGTGGTTTGAGAGCAAATTTTGACCGTGAGTGGCTTGTTCACTCATGTCCCACTGCATGGTGGCATGGGGCAGGAGGAGAGTACCCAAGGGACTGACTGAGCCTGCACAGGGACCACAAAAATGTGACAGAGGTAGCTCTGATCCCTGTGGGAGGTATGAGCTATGGCTGAAGAGACATCTGTTGCAGCAGGGTTGGTGGTGCCAAAGCCCATCAAAGGCAACCTGAGCTGAGGTGGTGACATATCTGAACGAGTGGCTGGGGGGAGTCTCCTAGTGCAGGGCTGAAGGTCCTGGGAACACCCCTGCTGTGGGCTGTAAAGAAGGAAAATAACGTCACTGGACATAAGGGTGGAAGGGGGAGGTTCATGGAGGAGTGACTATTCACGCTTTGGGTGCACAAGGACATCCCCCTTCCCAATAACCTGGAGGTCACATACTGGCAGATGCACATGTTACCTTCTCTCTCCCTTAAAGGGCTGGATGGATTGGTGGCATTTCTCTCCCACCACTTGCCCATGCTCCATCTCATCACCTCCCAGCTCAACTAACATCCACTTCCACTTTTGCCAGAAACGTGCCAAAGGCCTGGGTGGGGCTCAAGACTCCAACTGACACCAGACCAGAATAACTACAAGAAGAATGAAGAAGTGATGCTGAGCTGCCCTGAGGGTTTCCAGCCGTCCTTCACCCATGTCAAATGTTCGGCAGAAGTCCAGTCCATCAGTCTTGGGATACCTGTATACAGAGAAGTTTGGCTCGGAAGGGACAGCAGAGGCAAATGGATCCGCATTCGGTCCAGTGTGGGGTGCTTGGGTAAGAGAGACATCAGGAGATCTCCTGACTGCCCTGCTGTGCCCCCACTGAGCAGAGGAAGGCAGGCTGTGAATGAACAGGAGGTTTTAGGCTCTCTACCTGTCTGGGGAAATGGTAGATGCTGCTGAAGGCAGTGTTGAGGCAGTCCATGAGCCTGCCCTGAGTCCAGCCTGCAGTTCATCGTGGGGTACGAGGTCCTTGCAGAAGATGTGGGCGATAAGGCTCTCCCTGAGGGCTACTGGCAAGAGCATGTGCATAATGGAGAGAAGCATGGGAGAGCTGTGTGTGGTGAGTTTATGGTCTGCATGGCATCACGGTTGCAGTAGGGGGATCAGAAGGCTCTGCTGTCTGTGTCTTCTCAGATCGTGCAGCAGTGAGC